GGGTGTTAAGGACATTCCACGCAGTACGGCGGACATGGAGTGGCTGGCCGTGTGGGTTTATAGGCGTTACGAACGGGGGAAGGGGGTTATAGGCGGGCGGGTGCCTGTAAGCCGCCACGTTAGCTAGCTGGATACTGACGATGGTAATAAGGGGGGAGGGGTGGAGGGGTTGTGGGGGTGGGGATCCAGTGCGCGGAATGCTCGCGGGGGTTGGGGTGGGGGTAAAAAGGATTCAGGGCAGGGGGTTTGGGTTGGGGGGATGTGATGGGATCCAGGATTACGTTGGCGGTTGGCGGTTGGCGGGATGTTGTCCGTTAAGCTAACCCCAACGACAGGACAAATCCGCACATCTTCCTTTCCCCCCGACTTCAATTCGGTTTCCCCCCTTCCCTTCTCCCCTTCCTCCTTCCCCCCCCCTTTTTCCTCACCCCATCCCATTTCCCATCCAGTCTTTCTCTCCAGCTCACCCGTATAGCAGAAGAGTAAAACAGCGGCGGCCACGCATAAGGCCCTCCGTCGGCCGAGCACCCATTCGCAAGGTCCCACGCGTCCGCTGCCGCCGTCTCCTCCGCCACCTCCGTCGGTTGCGGCCGTCGCGGCATCCGTACATCCCGCAGTACACGCTCCACCGCCGCCGCCACCTTGGCCATCTTCTCCCGTTGCGCCAGGGTGGCCGTAATGGTTGCTCGTCCAGTGGCGGACTGGTCTCGGAGCTCGGCCAGACCGCGGAGGTGAAGAGTCAGGACCGGGCCATCTGGGCCCTACACGTGCAAGGGGGGGGGAAAGACGAACCACACACGATTGAAGGGGGGGGGGGGATGCGTCCCCCGGAGGGGGAAAGGGAGGGAGGCAGGTAATCACACGCAAGACGTTCAAGAAGAGGCGGAAGGGGGTCAACAGCTGTCGTAACAGGATGTCCAAAGCACCACCAACTGCCGTATACGAGTAGCCAAAAAAGCGATGACGCGACCACTGCCCATAATGCCGTTCATGATTCGAAGGACAATATGTGTTTCTTAACGTGTGTGTTTGCGCGCACGTTCATTCCTCCAGGTGCCCATCCAGACAGGGGGTTGGGGCAGGATCACATGCAAGAGAACCAAAGACTCAACTGTCAATGTACGACATAGTTGCCGTACAACTGTCGTACCTGCAGCGGCGGCGTGGTGACGAGCTGCCAGGTCTCCCGAAAGGTTCCGGCAGCTGAGCCCATAAAGGTGATGGACAGCTCCAGGGATTGGCCGGGAAGCAGCGTGCCGGACTGTGTTTTTCCCCGGGGGGAAACGGGGGGGAGACGAGCCCCGCCGGGGACATCCGGGGAAAGCAGGATTTGGCGAGTAATGACACCATGCAAATGAAAATGCAAAAATTGACACTGCCGAAAAAGCGCAGGGGGGACTTTATAACATATTCGCATTTCAAATGCGCCGAAGGACCGTTAAAAAGGGAATTCCAAGCCCCCAAGCGAACCCAGACGAACTTTCCAGGATGTGCGATGTGCGACAGGGAGGGGAATTTTCAGACAGAACGTCTCCTTGAAGCGACGAATATGGGGTAGCATCTAAAGGAGCGCATCGGTCGGTACCGTTTAATTAATACCACCCATCCGCTGGCCGCAGGGCCTTTCCGTAGTAGCTGACCGCTGAAAAGGATGCTCTCGAGATGCTGGTGGTCGTGCTTCGCGCGTACTTGTAGAGCCGTACTGTGTACCAGCTACTACACTTTCCCCCTTCCTCCATACCGCTCTCCCCAACCTCTCCACAGTCCACAGGGCCCCTTCTCCCTCTCCCCCCTTTTGCCCTGGTCGCCGTCAGCTCAGAATATGCTTTGCTGCATTTGCTGCATCTGCGCAACCCCCCTGGCATTTTCACGTTCATATCCGTGCCCCGGTTCGTGTCATGTACGGCTCCGCAGGGAATCCAAATCAACATATGTCCCCCATATGCACCCAAGTCCCCGCTTCTTTCCTTTTTTTCTAAAGGCCCCCCCTCTTTCTTCTTCCTCCCTCTCCCACCCCCCAACGCCCACCTACAAAACCCTCACCACCCGAAAAGCAAAACACACACACGCACACAACCCCCCGGCACGTGTGTACCTGCTGGGACGCAATAAATCGCTGCGGCCGCCCCACCTCCGCCGCGGAATGGGTCGGCTGGGGGTCGGGTCGCGCCTCCCAGCGCCACCAAACCGCCGCCGTACCGCTGCAAGAAAGTGTGACCGACCCATGGGACCGTTCCCCCACGTGACAGCTAAGAGTGAGGTGGCGGGTGCTGGCCGTGATGTGGGGGCCCGGTTGGGGGCCGGCGGCGGCGGCGGCGGCCTCGGCGGCGGCTCGCTGAGCCTCTTCCGCCTCGAGCGCCGCACGGAACTGCGCCTGCGGTACGACAAGGCAAAGGAGAGAAGGGAGCGTGAGGGAAGGGGGTTGGAAAGGGGGTTGAGGGGTTGGACGCCTCCGGGAGAGATTGAGATTATATAATATATATGAGATTATAGGCGCAATGCGCAAACCCATCCACATGCCGCGTATAACTGTCCTGTACGACTCTGTCGTACACCGCCAAAACCCAGCTGTGCCCGTTCCTCGCACCTCCATTTCATCTTTGACAGCTTTATACGCCTCGAACGCCTCTGGGTGGTGGGCGCGCATGTGCACCTCCACCTCGGCCAGCCGGATGGGGGCGGTGGCCAGCGCCTCCAACTGCCCCTCCAACGCCTCACCAGCAACTACCAACGAACCAAAGTCGGGGTCGTGGGGCGCCAACGCGCGAAGACGAGTGCCGTACTCCGCCACACGCTGGCGCAGCAGCTGCGGTGGTTGCAGTTGCCATCGAGGGTTGGTTGGTGGTTGAAGCGGTTTTGGTTGGTATTGGTTGGCAGATTCCAGAGAGGAGTTTTGACGTTTGGGGGTTTGGGATGGGGCTTTGTACGACAGAGGTGTAAGCGGTGTGGTGAGGAAAGGTATAGGTAGTGAAGTCACCCCACAATCCCAACACCCCGAGGGGGAATCCCCCCCACACACAGGCACACGCACACAAACAGACAGACAAACACTCAGCGGGCAACCCAAATCTCTTACCCCGCGTTTTTCCTCTCCTGACCCCCTTCTTTAACCCCAACCCCCAACTCCCAACCAACCTCCTCCTCACCTCCGAATCCTCCCAGCTCCTCCCACGAGCTGACAACGACCTGCCAACCACCGGCTTTCCAAGCAAACTACCAGCACCGTTAATACCGTTGTAACTGCCGCCAGTCGCTACCGACCCCTGCTGTTGCTGCTGCTGCACCACAAGCCCCCCCGGTGTCAGCTGTGTCAGTGTGGCCAGGGGGGTGGGGGAGGTGCCC